GTAACTGATAAAAGGGTTTGTGAACGGTGAAGTGGCAATTTGCTGCGATATCTGTAAATTGAAATTATATTACAGTTGCATTTTTCTAATTACAGTTATGTATAATATATGTTTAAGTAAATACATGAATTAAAAGTTACATTGTATTAATGTCACAATTTCCCACAGTAAATACAATACACGTGTCGTATTCATAGTGGCATAGCAAATTGTAGCATCGATTGTAACTCTTAATAATTGCTGGGATGAGACGGGAAAATCAGAGAAATCTGGATAAAAATATTTACCTGTGTCTCTTGCGTTCTTCGGTAGATTCGTCAATCCTCCATGACATCCGATCCTCCTGTGATGACCTAAACATGTAAAATGTCCGGGAGACACCGTAAAGTCGACACAGAGTACCAATTGTCTATGCCCAGAAGTTGAAATTATTTGCCCGTTTCAACCGATTTTTGGCAGCTACGCCTATTTCTCTTGTGTCTCCGCTCATCCAAAGATCCCTTCAAGGGAGGACGGTCACGCCGCTCAGGTATAAGCTGTCATGTATCATTTGTAGGGGTCTTCGAAAAGAAAAGAGAAGAGAAGTAGGCGTAGCCTTAAAAAATCGGCTAAATCGGGCAAGTAATGCGAGAAGCACATACTTTTGCATAAAGGCATAATGCATAACGCATAAGGAAATGAACCAATCAGAGTCTTTCATTTCTATTGCCACGCTTGAAGATCGCTTTCTGAAGATCCCTACAAATGATACATGACAACTTATACCTGGGCGGTGTGACCGTCCTCCCTTATAGGGACCTTTGGACGAGCGGAGACACAAGAGAAATAGGCGTAGCTCCTAAAAATCGGTTGAAACGGGCAAATAATTTCAACTTCTGGGCATAGACAATTGGTACTCTGTGTCGACTTTACGGTGTCTCCCGGACATTTTACATGTTTAGGTCATCACGGGAGGATCGGATGTCATGGAGGATTGACGAATCTACCGAAGAACGCAAGAGACACAGGTAAATATTTTTATCCAGATTTCTCTGATTTTCCCGTCTCATCCCAGCAATTATTAAGAGTTACAATCGATGCTACAATTTGCTATGCCACTATGAATACGACACGTGTATTGTATTTACTGTGGGAAATTGTGACATTAATACAATGTAACTTTTAATTCATGTATTTACTTAAACATATATTATACATAACTGTAATTAGAAAAATGTAACTGTAATATAATTTCAATTTACAGATATCGCAGCAAATTTCCACTTCACCGTTCACAAACCCTTTTATCAGTTAGTCCAACATCGTCTCGAAGTCACCGTGTGTCGTCACTTCCTGAGGCTGTGAGAAGAAACATCATCGCCTTCGTGTTCCGCCATTTACGGTAAACACCATTGTGAATCTGATTGGCTGTCTCGTTTTGTCTTGTGTGATAAATAAAAACAATTACGTTCGTATATTGTATTGTTTTTTAATAATTACTTTCACGTAATGTGCATGACTGAATGGGAAGGGGAGAGGGGGGATGTAAAAATGAATATGGCAGAATCTGTTGTATTTCTGTCACCAGTCTGCTGTCAGGCTGTGAACAGCAAGATCTGTTACGTTTCTGCCGTCAATCTGTCACTAGACTGTGTACATCAGGATCTGCTTTGTTTCTGGCATCAGTCTGCCGTCAAATAATGTTGCCAGACTCTGCCGTCAGAATGCGGGCACAATGGACAAGCAGTTGGTACCAATCTACTGTAAACCTCTGATTCATTCTGCCGTCAGTCTGCCATCAGTCTGCTGAAATATTGCTATTAGGGAATATCTCAAAAACTAAGTATTTTCGAAAAAAATGTTTCAGACAAATTGTATAGTTTCAAGGGGGACATAATTTGATGATTTTGAAATTTCCAGAGTTCGATAAGTTAACAAAAGTCAGGACACTGTTGTAACAATATATTCTTCAGATGAAATAAAGTAAAAAAATTTAGTATCACTTTTTCTTCCGACCAGTAGATAACGAGATAAATATTAGTAAGTTAAATATTATCAAGTTTTCCCTAAAAGTTATCAAGTTTCCCTTAAATTACCTCAAAAAACATTAGGCAAATGAAAAAATGTTTCAGACAAAAGTTGTTCAAAATAATTGGTAGAAAAAGATGGTATAATAAAAAATTGGGGTTTCCATTTAAGAAAAGTAATTCTCAGTAAATATCTCGAAAGTGACGCCATCTGTAAACAAAATGATATAGTTGTTTATGTCCACTTTGAAACCATACAACTTTTGTAACATGAAACATTTTTTTCTAAAATGCGTAGTTTTAGAGATATTTCGCCGTCCCAATATACTCTTTATATACTCTGTATAACTATGTATCATATACAACTATACAATTGTATAACTATGTGATCATATAAACAAAATTCATGCACAATCATTTTTTTCCCGAAGATATACAATCTTCTCTTTCCGTTTATGAGAATACAACCCTTTGCGATTCGAATTATCTTCGCTATTTCATTCTAACCGATCAACGGCTTTCGCATAGTGTCGTATAATTATCGTTTGATTTGACTAATATCATCAATAGCCATAAGTTTATTCAGTGACATAACACACGTCATGAAAATCCACGCAACTTTCCCGTAGAATATTTTCCCTCTGAAATGTCAAAACGAACGAAAAAGAAAATTGATGTCGAGTCAGCGCCTCGACAGGACCGCAAAAGGTTAAGCGTCAAAATATGTTTGATAACGCGAATGATCTTGATCGAGCGGCGATGGTGCACTTCGCACATCATCGATGAACGAACGACACATTGTATATAAATATTTATATACAATATACGCTTGTCAATGATATATTTACAAAGAAGTTAAAACGAGTGGCAGTTGCAACTAGAAGAGAAGGCTCCGCTCGCAGTGCTATATTTTTGTGCAGTAGCGCGCATGGATGTATGAATATATATGTATGACTGTCTCTCCTCGTCTCTATGAGTGTGTTGACTTCATTCGAATATTTGAAGAAATATATTTTTAATATGTAGTAGAAAGAACATCGACTAGAGAAGTCCACGAAACTACAAACTGTTAGATTCGTGAAGCGGGCCATTGAAGACGAGCAATTTTGCCTAAGAGTGATAAATTTTCGTTTTAAGACCGGCGAACGCGTCTTAGTTTCCATTTTCTTCATTTTCCTTTCCTCTTTGTTCCTGTCTTCCCTCTTTTTCGTTTATATACGAGAAAAGGGAAAAGTTCCCCCTTACTGAGAAAATTTCTTAGGTTCTCTCTACGTTCTCTACATGAATATAAACGTTACAAAAATATCCTAGTTCTTGAATTCACAACTCGTTCGCAAATCAACCGTTCTCGAGTCTGTCGAGTCTCTGTGAGATATATTCGCAAGAAGCGAAGCGTAAAAAGGACGTCAGCGTCTCAACGCATCTCCTCCTTCACTCGCGTTCAACGTAGTCGTGCATTCGGACTCGCTTAAATGTAAAAAATCATCTGGCGAGAATATTAAAGTATATCAATAGCGTATCGTGAGATATGCCATAAAAAATTACAAACTGTCTTTATTTTCTCTCCGCGACATGATGAATAAAAAGAAACCGGTCGTTCCGCTCAAACGTCCGTGCAAAGTCGTGAAAATTAAAAATCGCCTCGGAAAAACACTCGAGAGTCGCACCTTTACAGTCGACGTCTATTTCGATAACTTTTATAAATAGAAAATCTCTTCTTCTCTTTAAAAAAACAAATCCCGTTACAAATTTAAATTACTCGGCAGGTCTGTGTCGTTGATGTAAACCAGGATGATTCGCACCTTGTATTCTCAATTCACTCCACAACATCCGCGTTTCTCTCTCTCTCTCTCTCTCTCTCTCTCTCTCTCTCTCTCTCTCTCTCTCTCTCTCTCTCTCTCTCTCTCTCTCTCTCTCTCTCTCTCTCTCTCTCTCTCTCTCTCTCTCTCCCTCTCTCTCGCTCTGTCTCCGCAATTAATAATACGGATACAAAATAAAAATTCACGCGAGCACGCGCGTCAAACAAACTGCATATTGTCTACTTCGCGGGCTGGAGTTCTCCCTACCGAGAAATTATCTCGCCACACTGTCGTTCTGCGTATACCTTTCCGCAATAAAAAGAATCAAAAAATGAAAGAGAAGATGATTACAGAGAAATGCATTTCAATATGTACATTTTCTTAATCAATTGTCATTGCTAACGAATTTTCCCGGTTGTGTGCGTTAATGTTCGTTAAAAATCTTTATATTCGCCGTACATTCATACCATCGACATAAAAATATCTATGTTAAGCATTATATTAATAATTTAGGTAAGGGAATGTAGTACCAATTTGCGGTGAAGGGAAAGTTACAATAGTTCGAGTCGTTTGACTGGACTCTCCACCATTCATCTCGCATGAACTTATTTTTCTTTATATACAATCGGCTAATTAAAAGTCGTAACACTTCTCTTCGAAATGACTTTAGTAACGCATTCTGCATTCAATATGGTCATTTATTTTTTAGCAATTTTCAAGAGATCCCTTTTTGCTATTGGATACGAAATGTGAAACAAAATTCATCGAAATAAAGTGTCGCAATCTTTAATCAGTTGACTGTACACTTGTTTATATAACAGATTTTATACTTTGTCCGATGAAATTAGAAGCAAACAAAATATCAAATAGTCACGCAATCGCGAGCTTGTGTTATAATTCTTGTTCAACAACAAAATGACAAGAAAAAATAATTACATAAGTGAGATGTGAATAATTATGCATATAGGGTGTTAAAAAAGAAAAAAAAAATTCCAGACTTACAGACAGGGCAGACAATACTTATTGTACCAAGTGAAAAGTGTATAGTAAACAAACCAGAGGATCAACTTCAGAGTTTTTAACATTTTCGATTTTGATAACGCAAATAATTTGTGTGCTTCCATTAATCTGGGATCAGGATATTATTTAGCCCGTCCGAAATCTTTCTCTTTTAACACCTTATATGAAATCTGTCTCTATGTAATCATACTTATATTTGTGGCAACCTATAATATATATCCGGTTAACTGAATAAAACGATGTTTTCCTTTCTTTAGTTAACAACATTTTTCCGCATAGACGCATACAGTTACACATGTTCATATATGTGCGAGACCTAACTTTCCCCTTGTCATTAATTAGACCTTCCTCTGCTAGAATACTCTGTCTAGATATTCTTATGTCGACGGTTCACGCGCGTAATTGTAGAACTGGTGTCGCTCGTCGAATGACAATAAATCCGTTTCAATTGTCATCGCGATGATCTCGCAATATCGAACGAAAATCCCATCCTCTTTCGTTCTCCTCGATCATTCAGTAGCCCTGAAACACGAACGGAAAGAAAACGCTCCCGCTGCGACTTTCGTTATGTTTAAAAATATAGGACTCGGTCTTTCGAAACTTTGTACATTGCTGTGGCAAACTTCGTACTGTACATTTCTAATTCATTCCGCAGGACGTAAATATAGAATCCATGGCATTTCGGATGGATAACGTTGGTGGTGATGGTGTCGATATAATTCCGCCCGTTCTCGCTCTCTCCCCCTCCCCCCTCTCTCGCCTTTCCTCCCTATCTCTATCTCTATCTCTCTCGTCGTCGTTCAATAGTGGACGCATCTCTATGCGTGAATCTTATTTGTCGATAAAGTGCTTCGCAATTACGGCCGACGATGCGACGATTTAAAACAGATTTACTGCCGCCTCTTCTCCCTTCACCAGCTCTGTACAAATAGGCGAATTCAGATAAACGATAAATCGCAATTACAAAGGCCTAACTCGCTCGTTATTTTATATTTATGTATATTACGTTAAAATCTATATAAATATATATTTATATCCGGTACACACGTTACGGGGCCCATCGCGAATTAATAATCTCTGCTAGAACATCACACTCATGTCCATTGGCGTTTAATCGTTTGTGACTTAACGAGCGTTACACTCAGTTGAGTCGCTTACACGCACGCGTTGACGGCAAACGCGTTTCAAGCCGGTAACAACGCAAAACCGTCGATAAATGTCTCTCTCTCTCTCTCTCTCTCTCTCTCTCTCTCTCTCTCTCTCTCTCTCTCTCTCTCTCTCTCTCTCTCTCTCTCTCTCTCGCATTGTAAAATAATTACGCGCAGATGGCATTAAATTTGATATAACGTATCTATATAGTATCAAAATAAATAATTCTCAATGCCACCCCGAGTTTCTTCCTCCTTTCTTTCTGCTCTACGTCTCTTTTCTTTCCTTTTGTTTGTGTTTTATCAATTGACTATGACATCGACGACTCAGTTATCACGAACGAACATTCCTTCCATTCCGCAACGACGGATTTTGTACTTCTCCCTCGACCGGTCTACAAATTTACACATCCACGCATGCATGCATGCGACCGTGCGCGCGTCATCATGTTCAACGGACCGACGCGGCCGTTCCTTCTTACTGCCGATCTGTACAATTGGTACCCAACTCGAAATGGCCGAGCCGATCGTCGAGAAGAGATGGGAACGCTTTAGCGAACTGTCACAAGTTTGTAGTTCGTGAAGCTCGCATCGCGCCTCGCTCGCTTCACGCGCGCTCGGTGGAGAGCGACTCGCAGGTTGCTTTTTTCCTTTTTTATGGCAGGGGTTGCTACAAGCTTGTTTTTTCTCGTTTCTGCTTTCTCTCATTTTTCTAGCAGCTGCTAATGGCACCGTTACTTCCCGGTAACAGCCTGGAACCTAGGTAGGCAAAGACCGAACTTGGTTTCTATACCCGTGAAGATGGGCAAAGCCACTTGGTAGCCACCTATGTGATCTGGGTTCGTTGATCGAATCTCGTCCGCAACTCCCATAGTAGGCACCTTTTGCTCCGACCCGGCAGGTCGACTGTGAAGAATATCAGAGATCGTTACGCTCGTCGATGTCGATTCGCAAGTATAATCTGGTAACAATAGAAACGAAATTTCGTCGATCGCTCCGCTGATCTTCTTCTTAAATATCCCATAATGAGACGAATTTATAAATTAATAAATAAATTAATAGATAAATTTTAACCCTTTGAGTGCGCTACGAAGAGTGGCTCTATATAGCCGAAATTCAGGAAAACTGACAATTCATCTATGACTGGTGATATCAGACAGAAGAGAATTAAATTATCTCTAATATGTAAATCCATTGGTTTATTATTTTAGTTATTTAATAAATTTATTTCGAGTAAACTACCTTAGAGCTGAAGTTAATTGTCTTAATTATTAGTAGTATATTTACTAAAGTATATAGTATATAGTAAATATATTTACTAAAGTTCATTCACTTACTAGAATTATTTCACAAGACAAAACACTAAGAAAATTTAGCCTGAGAGAAATAAATTTGTTCTAAAAATTTATTCTAAGAAACATATTTACTTTGAGAAAGTAACAAACAACTAAAATTGTTCCTGATAAAAAGACAGAGAATACGTACAGAGAAACATACAAATGAAAGTTCTTGGAAAGATTGACATTTTATAACAGAGCACCTTTGAGCGTCAGTAGGCCGCAACGAACCACTTATATTGAGCGCATATATTAGGAGGTTGAATTAGTTATTCTGGATCCTAGTAGAAATGTGCGAATCAAGAATTTTTATGTCGAATCGAATCGAATCCCATTTTTTAAATTCGAATTCGAATCGAATCGAATCGAATCTATGAAATTTCATTCAAATTCGAATCGAATCGAAGTAATTTAATAGTATATTTTTATAGTAATTTAAATATTTAAAGTAATAAAAAATAATTAAGTTATTAATTATAAGTTAAATTAATTACAAGTTAAAGGTTCAAACATACAGGCCCAGATGGCCCGTTTTGTAGCTGATATGCGCAAACGCTAATATCAAGTTGTCTAAAAAGTATTAAGCCTTTTGCGCACGAGATAGCGTTAGTGTCCCAAATCTCAGGGTATATGAGTCGCAGCAGGTCAGGCCTAACGTCATTTGACAGCTGACAGCTGAAGGTAGTAGACGTACAAAAAGTGTTGGAATTCTTATAATCAGACGTAAGGTATTGTGTCGTGAAGATAAGTGAACTTTCCGCAAAACTGCGCTACGTTTTATAATTTTATTTCGATAAAGGCGCAAATGCTGCGCAGGCCCGTGAAGAAATTTGTGCTGTTTATGGACAAGATACGTATCAAAAGCAACAGCTAAAAGATGGTTCAGACGCTTTCGTTCTGGAAATTTCGATATCCAAGATACTCCTCGCGTAGGCGACCAATCACAGAAAAAGTGGATGATATTCTGGCAAAAGTCGACCAAGACCGGCATGTAAGCAATCATGACATCGCCAATGACCTAAACATCCATCACCAAACAGTGTTAAATCATTTGGAGAAAGCTAGCTACAAAAAGAAGCTCGATGTTTGAGTACCACATGATCTGACTCAAAAAAATTTACTCGATCGAATTTCTATCTGCGAATCTCTACTGAAATGTAACGAAATCGAGCCATTTCTGAAGCGGTTGATCACGAGTGATGAAAAGTGGATAACCTACGACAACAATGTGCGAAAAAGATCGTGGTCGAAGCGAGGAAAAGCTCCACAGTCTGTGGCAAAGCCCACACTGATGCCCAGGAAGGTTATGCTGTGTGTTTGGTGGGATTGGAAGGGCATCGTGCTTCACAAGCTGCTGCCGCCAAGCAGAATGATAGACTCAGACCTGTACTGTCGACAATTAGCGCGATTGCACCTAGCAATTCAAAAGAAACGGCCGGAACTGGTCAACAGAAAGGGTGTCGTATACCACGTTGACAACGCCAGACTGCATACATCTTTAACGACCCGTCAGAAATTGAGAGAACTTGGCTGGGAGGTTTTAATGCATCCACCGTATAGCCAGAACCTGGCACGGTCAGACTATCATTTGTTTCGGTCTCTGCAGAACTCCTTGAATGGTGTTAAGTTAGTTCCAAAAGAGGCCTGTGAAAACCACGTGTCACAATTTTTTGACCAGGTACCTATCATGGAATATCGTCGGAATCGATTCCGATCGGAATAATTCCGTTTCCCCTAGAAAAGACAATATATATCTGGGAAATAACGGAATAAATTCGATTATTGTCGGAATCGATTCCGACGAGCTCCATAATAGGTCCATAGTACCCAGAAACCACAAAAGTTCTATAACAACGAGATTATGGTATTGCCGGAGAAATGGCAGAAGGTCATCGAACAAAACGGTACATATGTGGTTTCATAATGTTATTTTCAAATAACAATAAATGTATTCTTAATTTTGACCTCCAAAGGCTCAATACTTTTTAGGTATTAATATATTTGATTCGCATTCGAATCTTCGCGATTCGAAATTTTCGAGTTATTCGGATTCGAATCATAGGGATTCGGATTCGAATCGAATCAAATTACATTAGATTCGATTCGATTCGAATTCGAATAGTTCACACATCTCTAGATTCTAGCAATAGATGGCTTTAGTATAACAAGTTAATGGTTACCAGGAATGTTGAAATCTGGTAACACTGAAAGATTTGACATTTCTCTATGACATATGACAGTTTGCGCGCTATTGTTACTGATAGTTTCATTGTTTATACGCATCTAAAATGGATTGTACAAAATTGCATTTTCGACATTCATTACTTTTTTGTTTGATTTGAAAAAATCGGTAACTGAAGCTCATGAAATGCTTGTTACAACTTATGGTGCTCAAGCTCCATCACTGTACAACTGTAAATTTTGGTTTCAACGATTCAAAAGTGGTGATTTCGATTTGAGTGACAAAGAACGTACTGGTCAACCAAAAAATTTAAACATTTTGAATTGCAAGTATTATTGAATGCAAACATCGCTCAAACGGAAAAGCAATTGGCTGAACAACTCAACGTTAATAAATCAACAATTTCTAAATGCCTACACGCCATGGGAAAAATTTAAAGGGAAGGCAAATGGGTTCCACATGAATTGAGTGAAAGTACCATTGCAAATCGTTTGAATGCTATCTTTGCTTGCTAGACAGAAGAAAAGAGATTTTTGTGGCAAATTATAACTGGAGATGAAAAGTGGATTTATTTTGATAATCTAAAGAAAATCATGGATTGATCCAGGACAACAACATCGATACTAAAAGGAAACATTTATGGTCACAAAGCAATGTATTTAGTAGAATATAGAAGGTGTGGTGCACTATAAATTTCTAAACCAGGGGTTCCCAACCGGGGGTTCACCCGCTGGGGGTGTGAAAAAACATTCTTGGAGGTGCGAGAAAAAGTGATTGTAATTAATAATGATTCAGATGAATTCTAAAATAATCCGGCATTTTTACCATTTAAAAATTTTAAAAACGTTATTAAAATTATATATTTTTTACATATCTATACGTATATTCATTATCTATACGTATATTCATTATGTGTCACTATGCGAAGCTTAATATTATGGATAATAATTTTATAATATTAAAATGATAGTTAATTTCTATAAAACAATACTGTGTAATAAATAATTATTATAAATTAACTTCTTTGCCTTAAAACCCTAACAACTAACTTTTACATAAAACATATGAATAATTTTTTTCTTATAGGGGGTGCGAAGGTTCATTAATAAATTTTTAGGGGTGCGAAATACAAAAAAGGTTGGAAAAATGAGGTTTTAAACAAATGAAACAGTTCGGGGAGAGCGATACTGGCAACAATTGAACAAGTTGAATGATGAATTGATGCAAGAAAGGCCAGCGATACCCAGTAATAGACATAAAGTGATTGTTTTGCATGATAATGCTCGTCCACATGTTGCTTCAATCGTTAAACAAACATTGTTAGAGCTCGAATGGGGGAAATCCTTCCGCACCTAGCGTACTCACCAGACCTAGCACCATCTGACTGATTTTACCATCTATTCCGATCGATACAACACGCTTTAGCAGATACACACTTCAATGATTACGAGGATGTGCAAAAATTGGTGTCTGATTGGATTGCTTTGAAAGACAGATCGTTCTATCGTTGTGAAATCGCTATGTTGGCAGAAAGATGGGAAAAGTCATAGTTAACGACGGAAAATATTTTGATTGATGTAAATTTAACTATTTCTTTAAAATAAAAATTAAAAAATTGGCAAAATAAAATCAGAATTAATTCAACCTCCTAATATGCGCTCTCAGCACTCAAAGGATTAAATCGACATCGGAAACTCGATAACTTTGATATAATTTTGACAAAACTACCATTGCATTGTACATTAGCCAACGCTATTCTTTCAATCTTCAATTTACACATCGACGTCTCTTCGTTTCAGTAAGTTTTCTAATTACAATCGTTAAACTATAGCTAAAAACATTAGCGTAATCGCCTAAGAATAGAAAGTTTAACGCATAGTGTTACTATTGCGAATTACTATTTGTGAAACGTATATAGAAAGATATACTTACGATCCTCCAAAGTCGACAACGAACAGCCTTTGCAGCAATTCGTACGTGAAAAGAGTGACACCGAACTGCGGCGACGATCTGAACACTCGAGCTGTAAAAACAGAGAAGCGCATGATACAGGATGCACAGTTTTCAAAGTTAACTTTCGCATTCTTTGTCCAAATAAAGATTTAGGACGTTCCGATGGCAAGCATGTTCGGCATAATGTGGTTGTTTATCTCCTTTCTGAGAGAGCAAGATGAATGAAGATCATGAACGATAATAACAATACTGAAAATTATAATCACATAGCTGACCACTTATGTTCACTTTTACATCGATACATTTTTATTTTCGCTTATTATGGAGTTAATTTCACGAGGCATCTGTGAATATATATTAGTCAAAATCGAGAAAATGCCAGTCAAAATCCGGAATCCAAAATTGAAGACTCTATATGACATGCGGGGCTTAAAAAGTCTTTTTCATACAGAAAGGAAGACAGTGATATCTCCTAAGAGCAACAATTATCTTACAATGTCTTATTAATAATTATATATATATATATATATATATATATATGTGTGCTTAAGCTTGACACATTGACACGTAAGAATATCACCTCTGCGACGCAACTTCAACAATATATCGTATCTCTGAAAAGAAGACTCATACATGGCTTATTGACCTGCATTTTCGGAGTTACAGCTGCAAGATGCGTGAATGCGTAAGATGATACGTTACATTCGATGACATCGCACTGAGTACACAGAGAGAGTAAGTATGCTGACTGCAAATTGGAGAAAACGAGGACACAGAGCGATGGACGAAAATCATAATAAAAGGGTCAGATGAAGAGAAAGAGGTACTTACTGACAAGTAAATCGCCAGGTCATATTGAGGGGGAAGAAAGATCGAAAGATGCAGCAGGGCCGATCCCCCGCGCATGCAATCGACCAAAGCAGAATATATTACTAACTGCACTCTCGGTGATCGCAAGCGAGAGCAACATGAAAATCTCTTTCTCGTTTATTTCTACTTTTTACAGAGAAGCGAATTAATTATAAATGGAAGTTATCGCTTATATCACAGAAGAATGAGATCGTATACAATCAGTTTAATGAGCAAGAGAGACCTACGAGACTACTTCTGGGAAAAAGAAATTATTCTCCTCTTATTTATTTCCTTTTGTTTTTTTCCCGCGATAGTCACCCTAATCATATTAAGTGTACAAATAAATTCGATGCCTTTACATTCAATTAAACGTAATTCGGTTTTAAATTAAAATTTCCTGCCGTTGCTTTGGCATTTTTAAGTATCAACTTTACTTCTTTAAACGCACCATGTAACTTTACTCTGCTCGAGACATAACTTCCAAAAACAAATTTGCACTATGGCTCTCAAAAGAAAATGATCTCAAAAGAAGCACATTAGGCACTGTATTCTTTTCGCGTTCCAGTTGAAAAAAAAAAGTGCTGCTGAGGTTTCCGAAATCATTTGTTCTGCTTTAAGCGGTGCTGTGCCAATAAAACGTGCAAACGATGGTTTCAAAAGTTCCAAAGTAGCAATTTTGCTCTTACTGATGCAGAAAGTAGTGGAATATCGAAAACAATGGAAGAACTAAGGCAGCTATTGAACGAAAATTCTTGGCAGATACAGTAGAAACTTGCTAAGGTGCTTGGTGTAACTCAACAAGCTATTTCTATTCGCTTAAAGAAGCTTGGGAAAATACAGAAGGCAAGCCGTTGAATTCCTCAGGTGCTCAGCCTCGAAAACAAAATGAGACACTGTGACACAACAATGCTGTCACGATTAAAAAAAAAAGATTCTCTTCATAAAATTGAAAGTGAGGGTATTGTATGACAACCCAAAAAGATCTAAGTCGCGGATTTATCCGGACGAGCCATCAACAAGTATCGTTGAACCGAATATTTACGCTAACAAAGTGTTACTGTATATTTGAGATGAGATTTTAAAGGTGTTCTTTATTTATGAGTTGCTCAAACCTGGTGAAACGATTACTTCTGAGCGTTACCAGCAACAAATGATTAATTTGAGTGACGCAATTAAACGCAAAAAATATCTCTTCTCTGGGCTGAGAAATTCTCTCTCATATGGCTTATTCTCCAAATCTTACTCCCTCGTATTATCACTTGTTCTGATCACTGCAATATCACCTGATCGATCTCTTCAAATCTCCCGCAGACGTCGAAAGAAGCATCATTGATTTTATTGAATCAAAACCACCATCTTTTTACCGAAACCGGATTCGCCAGTTGCCCGAAAAATGAGAGAAGAAAATAATAGGGACTACTTCGAAAATTAACACGTTTTTCGTTTCTTGTAAATAAACATCAAAACCATGTTAAAGAAGCACCGAGCTTACTTGTACACCCAATACATAAATAACAGATTTACAGATCTTTCGAGAAAATTCCCAGTGCACTATGGCGAGAATGATAAAGTTGCATTAACTGCTTCGAGAACTTCGCCCATAGGGAATACATAGTAAAATGATATACCTGTTGCACCCTTCCAGAATGCCCTGGCGCCTTCTTCCCTATATATTTTTCTCGCGCAGTCCAACAGCCCGTTGTACGTGGTTTGACCCTCTCTAGCTACAACCTAGAAACGAAAGAGCGATGAAATTACGAGCGATGAAAAGATCCCACGATATTTCGGCGATTGTTTTCAGAACAAAATCATACCTGTAATCTCGTCTTTATTACGTCCGCTGGAGTGACCAACGCTGCTGCTGGTACGCCGGCGATCGCACCGGAAGCGAGAAGTGACAACGGCGTATTGTAACCACCTTCGTCGGCCATTCTCGCTTTTGTGTGAGCGTACATAGGAAAGTATATCGCGCTAAACGGCACGTCTCGTAAAAAGCAGGCCCTAGCACCCTACGAAGAGATTGCGTCTACCATTAAAACGATTTGACAAGAAAGAAAGAGATAGGAAAGGAAAGAGAAAGAAGAACGTACATGAAGAAAAAAATTTGATTGAATTAAGGGGACAATATCACAACTAAATGCATCTTAGTTGAAGGAAAGAAAATTTCTGGTTCTTAAAAATCTAATAAGTTCATGAAAACCAAATAAAAGACTCTCTATAAATAAATTCACAATAAAATTAAATTCATAATAAAAGCCAAATAAGAAATTCTTAACATCGTTTGGTTCATCATTTAATTCGTAAGAGCCGGCTAAGAAATTCTTTCATAAGAAATTCATAAGAAGTTTGCTTTAAGCAAAATAGTTTGCTGTTATATTAATTCAACCAATCTTTTTTCTCAATGTATATAAGATCATATAAGTAAGATCGATCACTACTCACTTTGTACAGTCCAAAAAGACCTAACTCCTTGACGACAGTCCACGCTCTCACCTTTGACCCACCTGCGATCTCTCCAGCCACCTGTAGTCTGATCTTCACTATCTCCAACGGATTAGTAAATATCACTTGAGACGCTCCAGCCTGAAAAGAAAAGAGAAACACTTCGTTATGTCTTCTGTTGCCTCTCCCAACGTACACACATGCACATATATATATATACACAAAGATAGAAATATTATTAAAAATCAAATATTTATCAAAGGCACTCATAAGTAACCGAGTGTTTGCAAGGCTTATTCTTATCGGTTGTAAACAATATTTTCTCAGTGTATTATTCGTAGATAATGTATTCAACTTATTATGTCATTTATCAGAAAATAAAAGCTCTATCTATAGACTTTTAAATAATTTCATTTTGAAATACTTGATCACTTATGGACAGCTTGACACATTGTCCGTACTTTAAATTAATTGCTTTCCCGTTCGCCTGTCTCATATCTTATATTGTTTTATTTTTCACCTAGCAAGTAACTTTAAAATACTGAACATGCAACAAGCGTAAGGAGAAACACTTACACAAGCACCAGATATGATTTCTCCGTACACCGGTAGATTTCCGTTCTTATCCATGAACTTGTCTCTGACGAAATCGTTGACCGTCAGCTTGATAGCCTTTTCAGGGGCTACCCCCATTAACTGAGGCATCAAACCTCGGTAAAGGCCGAAGAAGCCTTCGTGCCGTATCACCTGTCAAACGCAGAATACCAGCTTCATGATTAACAATGTAGAGAGTGTTACACGGCGAGACTTTTCGATTCCAACCTTTTTACAACAGTCAAAGCTGTTCCTATACATCAGCTCGCCTATGAAGGACCCGGTCCTCTGATTCTGCATCCTGGTCTTCACCAAGTCGATCGGATATACGGCCGTGGCGCCGACGGCTACAAGCATACCATTGCTTTATTTCTAAAATATGTCATTGTAGTAAGAGACTAAGTCGATTTATTATTCAAACTCAATTAGACTCAATTTCCAAATGATGCAAATGTTTTGCAAAAATCGCAGCTTTTTATTAAATTTTGGCATTTGCCCAGTTCGGAAGAAAACATGCTCAACGAGACACAAAAGATATTGATTCTTACAACATAGAATCTTCATTTTTGTTCTTCAATTTCATCATCGTGAAGTAATAATATAAACGCAGTCTCATGATGCGTTATACATCAAACATGGATATAATATTTAAAATAAATACAAATTGAATTTATATACAAGATGTCCGGAATCTTTTGTAAACGAAGAATTGTGAAGATTAATCGGATCAAACTGAAAAGAAAAGTCATGTACCGTTTTGCAAAAATCGCAATAATTATTAAGTTATTAATAATTGAATATGACAACACATCTAGAGATTTCTTTAATAACTTGAAAATTACATATTTATTTGCAAAATGATACTTGACTTTTCTTCTCAGTTCAATCTGATTAATCTTCACAATTTTTCGTTTCTGAAGGATTCCAGATACCTTATATATGAAATAAGAAGAAATGGAAGTCATCGTATTTAATTTTTTTTTCATTTTGTTGATAGATATGAAACATAAAGCAGAAATAAAAAACAGCTAAAGTAAAAATTAACATTAATTAAGGAATATAAAGCACTTTACACGTACCTCCACCAATGGAGCCGAGCACGAACCGATATCCACTTTCGAGCATTTGCACGATAATACCGCGCTCGTCCGGGCTCTGTAAAGTAACAGTACTCACTGTTGAATTAAGCATCTGACACTGTCGCAAACGTTGATTTCGAGAACGTTTAATCGATGTCTCGGCTCACAAGAGAGAGATTTCTTCCATCACCACACTTACCGACACCGCCTTAATCTCGGCAACGCGTTTTGTTATTTGCTTGAAATACTGCTCAGGTGTAATAGCCACGAGATCATTGTATACAATTTTCCTGAAATCCGAGAAGAAATGCGAGCTCAATAACGTGGAACGAAGCTGTAGCCTATAAAGCATATAAACGTGAGGAGATACACGAGTGAGTTCGTTAGGATAACAGATTGCTTGGCGTCGATGGCACTGTTTGAAGCGATACTAAACAAACTCCTGCCGAGATACGATCCATGGCGTATCCTCAGACCTTTATCTGTCTTAACAACGGGACAAAGTAATGGAGTCGTTAGTGTGTCCACACGGCGTGCAGATATTTTGCGCATATAACCATCGCCCTAAGATATAGATGCTGAAGAGAATAGGTGAGAACAAGTGTGTCTTAAGAGATACGTATGTAGGACATATTTAAATTATCACGTGATAATCTGTAATACAAAGACGCACCCAAGCCGCGAATCTGCCTCGTCATCTTCCGTAGGTCTGATCCAGGCAGCGTAAACACGTAAACAAATGCTTTCAATACAGGAAGAGAGTCGCATCGGAGCATCGGATTCAAATATACGGAAATAATAATGCAGTTAAGCGCTGTAGGCATTAGAAGGCGGTTAGGAATGGTTTGCTCGGTAGAAAATTGTAGTCTCCATCTTCATTGCCAACAACGAGATACACTCGACATTTTTTGGATGATGACGATGTGCTTGCTGGTGCAACGATAGGATTATGTGACTTGCGCTCATTCGCTCTTTTATCTCCCTCCCCTATCCTCCTCTCTCTCGCTCTCATTCTCTCTTTCTCTCTCTCTCTCTCTCTCTCTCTCTCTCTCTCTCTCTCTCTCTCTCTCTCTCTCTCGTTCTTTTTTTCTTTTTTAGCATATTTGTCGTTGACCAAATCAGCGTGGAAGCGAAATCGCTCTTTGAATCAATCAATCCCCAAAACTTTTTTTCTTACGATTAACAAGCTAATGATTATGCCATCCCACACTATGTGATCTTCCCTCGTGATCAATTACCAAGAACAAGAACTAGATACTAATGTACAAATCGAGAATACTCACCCAGTTTGGTGAAGCAAGTCGCATAGATGAAACAGGATGTCTACCTCCAACGGGGTTATCTGGGACATCATTTGTGCAGAATACAGAAATTCCTCTGGAAAGAGAGAGAGAGAGAGAGAGAGAAAGAGACGATGATTTCGATAATGTCAACTAGAAAAAAAATATAGGGAAGACCGGGAATAGTTGATACATGGGGCACGTTGATACATTTAAAATTATTTCAAAATGACAAACGGTAAAATTGCATAAAAAATATAGTAATTCTGCAAAAATATTGCGGTCAAGTTGTAATAAGTTATTTCAGGCTAATTAGTGTATTTTCGGAAACAAAAAACATTTCTAGTTTTTGATGGTCAAAAGTAAAATAAATCAGACATATATATTATGTTATATTAAATTTTGGTTAATATAAATCTGGTCATTATATTATGATTGCAACCGTTTATTTAAAATTTTTATTTTAAAAGTAATAATTTTTAATTATATTGACGACTTGAAATATATATACTTTTGTTTATACAATAATGTACAAAATATGTAAATATGGTGAGCTGGAGCTGGTTGTTACGGGGTCTGTTGTTACGATCAGTTATTTATTGTAACTTACTGCACTAGTTCAATAAGTGCACTAGTTCACTAATGCAGTTAAAATAATTAACAAATATGCTTTTATGTTTATATCATTGATAAATATATATATGTTTACATTATTAATGCTACATGAATACATATTTTATCTGTAAAATATTAATAGTTATGTTATGCACATTTTTTATTTATTTCTAATCATTAAATATATTCTTTGAAATATAGAGATCTGTAACAACTGATCCCGATAACTGTAACAACTGACCTCATATATGAGGTTAATTGTTACAAATGCTGTCGCCTTATATTTTTCATTGATGCAACAAAGTTAACAGAAATATTCAATCAAAAAAATAATTTTTGTTGTTTTATTTGTTTTGTGTTGTGTAAGCATGTAGCTATTAAAAAATTCTCATGCCGCTTATATTCCATTTGTTACTTATGCTTAAAAAATTCATTAAAAAAACTGTATCAACTAGCCCCGGTCTCCCCTACATTTGCCGCAATAACAAACTTCGTCGCGTACCTTTAGTAACTTCTTGGTATCTATGGCCGTTAGTCGCATTCAAATAGATGCGTTTGATAAGTTCCATGTTATTCAAAAGAGAATTGAACGCCATAAAGTACGGGAAGCTGACTTTTCGCCCGCTCTGGCCGGCGCCGACTGCCTGCAACGCATGGAAAAATGAAGCTTTTAGAGAGCACTCATATATATATTAATTATATTTCAATAGATTTCAATATTATTTATTTATGATATTGGAAACTCAAATGCTAAGATCGATAATCAAATAACTTATACCGCAATAAAAAAGTAGTGAAAATTCAATTGTCCACACTCCCAAGACCTGTTCGGAAAAATACTTACAGCGATCAGATTATCTCTCACGTCTTTCGTCAGGAGATGACTCTTAATACTGAGCATAATGTCTTGAAAATCTAATGCGGAAATGAAACCTGCGCCGTCCTTGTCGAATTTTTTGAAGGCTTCCGTCGCATACTCCTCGTGAAAGTCCTGAGAATTTTTTTTTTCTTTTTAATAGAAGGCGATATATTCCTATTTTATTTTTTATATTGAACAACTGCAGTGTTGTATTTATATTATATTTTATATTGCAATCTTACAATTATGGTTTTTTCATTTTTCTAACTCTAAATCTCTCTTCCCCCAAAACTAAAATTTCTAAAGCTCGGTAAATTCTATCCCATTCGTTAATAAAATACTCGGAACATTTCAAAAAACGCAAATTGTCATCGCGAGCTTTATGAAATACCAGTCGGCTCCTGAATTGCGTACAAAGTCGCTGCAAAAGGCGAGGCGGACATAGAGCGTATTTCGTAATCATCGCCACTCGTTATGTCACACATGGTTCGCATCAGATGTTTTGTTTCCTTGAAACGGAAATAATAACCGAGTCTGCAATCAGGCGTGCGATAGAGAGACTTACGTGCAAAAATTGACTGAACTCCGCATAGCTGATCAGCCTCTTCTTATCCTTCCCAAAGTAAAGTTTGATAAAGCTACTATCCATATTAAAGGGCATCTTTTGATGCAGCACAGTTTTCCGCATCACCTCAACGAACTCGTCTACAGATTGATCACAGGGCACATAAATATAAAGCACAAGCGGATGATTCTAAGGGAAAATCGCGGTTTCCCCGCACGATTCTTACCAAATGCAACCATTCCATTTCCATTAGTATCAAAGAGCTGAAAAGCTGTTTTGTATAGAGCGTCTGGTACACAGAGGAGACCTTCGAAGGCTTGAAATTCGGCAAACGATATAAGCCTGAAACGAAAATCAGTTTTTTTTCTCTCAGTGAAGTGAACTTCAGCTTCACGAAGAGTTTGACTGTCTCGTAATTCAATTCAATGAAAGGTTTAATTGAATAATGTCACTCCCAAGACAAATCTATCAATTGTATTAATTAACTGTATTAACATCATTATAGAGTGACTCGCTTTAAATGCCACCTAAAACTCGAGAGAAATGCGTTATTAAAAACGTATTCGAGAAAAACAAGGTCAGTACAAGGTCATGGTTTTATTATCCCCCTTAAAACCAAGTAACTTTCGCTTAAAACTTTTTTTCGAATACTACATTTCTTCCAAAATGTTTTAGGCGAACACTTAAAGAGTCAGCCTATATAAAATGATGTTGATTAATATATGTATAATATAATTATGTATTAATTATACAAGATGGACTATTTGAGTTAATAATGTAAAATACGAAGCGTTAAAGAAAGTAATGTTTTAAATAAAAGTTATATGGTTTAAAAGGGGACGTACAATGGTACCCTTGGTTTGACCTTGAAACATGCATTTAAGGTCAGATAAAGGTCAACTTAATTTTTTAAACCTACTTAGAATATATTATTACAATAATAAGCCCTAATTTTTGTTAACTTATCGACTTTTGGAAATTTCAAAATCATCAAATTAACAAAAGTCTAGGCGCTATTGTAACAATATATTCTTGAGACCAAGTAGAGTAAAAAAATCTGGTACGACTTTTTCTTCCGATAAATAGTTAGCGAGATATCGTAAGTTAAATATTGAAAAAGTTGCCAAGTTTTTCTTAAATATCTCAGAAAATATTAGGCAAATAAAAAAATGTTTCAGGCAAAAGTTGTTAAAATTAATTGGTAGAAAAAGAAGATATAATAAAAAATTGAAATTTCCATTTGAAAAAATTAAGTTAGCTTTCATCTGACCTCAACCTTTGGAGGACCAGAAATCAATTTATTGGCTTTTAACTGCTTTATATAAACTGGATTTAGATGTGTTTGAGTGGTGGTCCTTTGGAGGCCCGAAAACCAATTTATCAGGTTTTAACTTACTATTGTAGGATATTTTAATTTATTAATATTCTATTTTTATATTTCATATTCGCTTACACGTTATACTTTGTATTGTACCAGTTTCGATTTATAAACAGGATCGGGCAAACGCTCTCTGTGTGTGATATGACTGTCGAGCCGATAATACTTATGGTTATATTTGTTGTTATTCATTTGCGGTGAATGCGATGCACCTCTTTGCGTTGTACCGTGCTTCAAACTGTACCATACCATGAAAAATTACTAAATGTATTGTAAAAGCATTAGTCCTTTTATTTTTTCAATTACTCTTTTTATATTTTCGACAAAATATGTACTTATTGCGAAATAAATTAATGTATATAAATACATATGATGCATTTTGACTGTCTTCTACTTCATAAATTGCGGTGTAAAAATTTTTATACATGTTATTTGTCAAACTTTTTCTCTAAAATGATGTTAAACAATTATTCTAATAATATCTAATAACATTAAGTTGAAAAAAAAAAGGATCCTGATTCTTTTCCGGACCGGAAGCCAATATATTAGCGCGAAAGTGGCGCCATCTTTTTCGTTATTCAACCCAATGATGTTAATAATAAAGTTCTAATACTTAAAATAAAAAAGTCGGAAAAAACAACTGCGGTCTTCTAAAGGTTAAATACACGTTTCAAGATCAAACCAAGGGCACCATTGTACGTCTCCCTTTAAACCATACAACTTTTATTTAAAACATTTCTTTCTTCAACGCTTTATTTTTTAAATATTTCGCATTGTCAATTTAAGTAGTCTACCCTGTAGAGATTTGAAGACATTAGTTAAATTAAATAATCACTTTTCTCTCCCGCGCTGACGCCGGTGCTTTACTTACCCATCTTTGCTAGTGTCGACGATACCAGCAAGTAAATTGACAGAATCGGGATTGTAATCGGCATCCGTGTAAAGGCCAAGATAACTGCGTACGAAGTCGGATGCGGTCATGAACCTCTCGCCATTCTTCTCCTGTGTGGCGTACTGCAAATCGCCAAGCGCCGGATTACCGAATTTGCAATTTCAGGGTAAAAGTACCGCGTGTCATCTCAAACTATCTCGTGACAATCGTAAGAATCAACGACCACTTTGAAACGCAACTCACTTGAGCGTCGTATCGTTTTCGCTTACCTGGTTAAAAATTTCATGGAGGCGTTCAGTATTCGCACGCTTTAAGTACCCGGAACCCTGAAACACGACACATCGTGGATGAGCGACTTTTATTCTGCACGCATTTCGATAAATTTCTTTCTTTTTTTTCGAACCATGGGACAAGTATCTACGGTGAGATTTTCTAAGATCACTGAGTGTAAAACCCGGACTGACACACAATACTCTCGCAACACACAAATGGATACCGACGAAAGTCACAATTCTCAACGATAAGCGGCGCTAAGGATGGATCACATTTAATATTCCAATTTTATTTTTCTCCTTATTGGGAAAAAAAAGATGACGAGCGCGCGGCCGATCAGGTTCGTCGCAGGTACCGATAAGTTTACAGTAGCGTCCAAGTGCGGTGCTTATCTTATCTCCGGCGACTTTTCTATTTCGCGTTAAGCCCGTATCACATTAGCGACTCGCGACTGCGACTGCGATTGCGATTGTGATTTCTTGTTTTCCAATCACACTTGCGATTGACGATCGCGGCTACGGCTAAATATTGTTAACATACTGTCACACGTACAATCCCATAGAAGGGGTTTACATTCTACGAGATCTACTAAATAATGGTCTATCTCCTTATTAAATTGTTTTGACATTTTAAAAAAAGTATATAACATATAAAACAACATTGGATATAACCTTATTCTAATGATCACCGACTTCTACATACTATTAAATAAATGTGATTATGACGAGCGCGTCACGTGATTATACGGCGTTCTGTGATTGGTTGCGACTGCGGCTGCGACTCGAAAAATGGACAGCCGTCCAAACGATAGTCGCGAGTCGCAGCCGCAGTCGCGAATCGCTAGTGTGATACGCTTTTAAGGGGCACATATGTTCATCACTCGTAAAAAAAAGCCAATTTTCGAGAAATTTTTTCTCAGCCTGGGATAAAGATATCAATACGGGGTGTTTTTCAGATTATATAACATATATTTCAGTACAAAAAAATGTAAACGAAAGTTCGATTGAGCAAATATTGTGAAAATGACGCAACATGGCGTGAAACCCGATTTTTGCAATGTCTGCATGATTCCGTCCTGTACGTTCGTGCGATCTGCAAAACAAAAATATTTTTTTAAACATAAAGGTTGTAGTTATGGTCCCTCGGGGGGAATTTTTGAATTTCGCAAAATTAACAAAATGGCGTAACTTTAAAAAGAAAAATGCACATTTTCTTCAAAATTTCGTCACATTTGTTGTTAAAAAAAAAAAAACGAAACGGAAAATCGAAAAACGCCCTCGACAGACGACAGAGAATTTAATTACGAATATTTTCATCTAAGGCGTATCCAGAAATATTGAAAACTCGATGAGTTATTGTGCAAACACTGACGGAAAATAGCGTTTCGAGAAAAACGTTTAAAGTTAGCGTTTAAAGTTTTGATATAAGAACTTCATAATATAACTTTTGTATAATCAAACTTACTATTACTCAGCTATTCCAGCGCCATAAGAAGTACCTTCCTGTGCCTCGTTAGTCATGTGTTGCTTCGATAAAGAAAGTCTACGAGCAATTCGAGCCTCCCTTGTCGCTTGTTGCGCTTTGATGCGGGCGTGTTTGAGACGGTTCGAATCCTCTTGTTGACAATATTCATACGCATTTCGTCCAACTTGGATGTCCAACAAATCCATTATGCGTAAATATGAATCGGCTCCGTCGTTAAAAACGCTCGCAGACACGTAAGCAGCTATTTCAACAATGCGCAGGCTACCAAAGGTTATCTTGGACGCAAGTTTCCAAATCATCTGGTTATAACTTTCGTTATTATTTTGCGTATAACCACCCATGCATCTTTGCAGTAAATCTTCTTTACTTAAAGCTTCGTACACGGATTTGATGGCTGTCTGTACAATTTCCGGTAAAGCAGGTTGATGTTTGTAATTTTTTACAGAGCCTTCAGCCTTCGCTTTTTGCCACGTGTACCAACTATTGGCTGCGGGCGGACAGTATACGTGTTGTGGCTTGACGTCAGTGGAAATTTTGTGATAAAATGTGGCCCAAATCGCGTCCTTCATATTTTGTACCGAGTCACAATTATTTCGGATCGCCAAACCATAATACACTGTTAATTTGTCAATTAACGATGCCGTTAATTTTCCCTTGCCTTCCAGGCTTGCCGACCTCGACTTCGTAGCTTTCGCTGCTTCTTTATATGTGTTTTTTATGTTGCGAAGCCACCTACCCATGCGTTTCTGCACATGGCCCACACATTCCAATTTTTTCGGTATTATGTTATCATATATACGCGCGTTCAGAAGGGCGGAAAATGTCTTAGAGTCGCCGTCACCAATATAATATGCGTATGCGGTATTATATAATTCGACTGATCGTTGGAACATTTGAACCATGGCGTCACATTCCATTTTTCCTGCACTTCCAGTGTGATTTGCTGAGCATTATTCCTCGTGAGATTTTATCCATTGCTCATATTCCGCAGAATCCTTATCTTTTTCATGAGCTTCGCATTCCTTGCAATACGAACTTTTGACAAGAAGATCGATCACTTTTCCCGTGTACCATCCGATAATATTCGCGACACCAAATAACGACGAAAAGCCGCGTTTCATCCAGGTGCCGTCTCCGGATACTTTTAAGCCGTCTGGTATATTTGAATGTTCAGCATCGTTGGTTTGTTGGATCTCAGCAGCTTTCAGCAGCCTCTTTCAGAGATTGCATTCCAACGACTTTCGCGACAGTGTGTATATTGCCCATAATCTTATCATAGGAGCATTGTGCGACATATTTCGGCAAATCCATTATGCCGCAAAAACGTTGTATTCCTTGTAGTCCCTTACCAAGAATACGCATAGCGAAAGCCAATCGTCTATTGATCTCGTATGCAGCCCCTATTAGCGGTGACGAATATACGCTATTAATTATCTTATCGCACGTAGTACACTTAATATTTAATTTAAAACCGAGTCCGCGAACATTCGATTGTAAAAATTTAACTGCACCTCCACATTGTTTACAAACGACACATTCAGATATTGCTGTAAACACAGCGCAGAATTGCAGAATACAAAATGACATTTCAGGATCAAACGTAACGTTCGATTTTTTGTGTAGCTTTTCCGAGGTTTTGTTTGTATAAGTTTCCTCGCTCTCCATCTCTACATTCGTTGGAGGTGGTCTTTTTTTCTTCGGCCGTGTAGTGCGAGTTACACGCCTTTCCTTTCCTATCGATACTTCGACGTTTCATTTCGTTTTTCGCGGACTGTTCGAAGAGCTGCGAGCTACTAAGCTCGCTGTGTTTCGTACTTCACTTCTTTTGCATCGAGTCCAGCGTGTAGAAATTTCTTTGATAGCCAGAATAGAAAGCTTTTCAGGAGAACGGCGGCAAAGTGGAAGTCGGTAGATACAGATGAAAGTTAAGTTTCGACTCGATGCAGGTTAAATGAAGTAACAACGTGAATTTCAACAACACGGGTTTTAATAAAGTAATAGCTGTTGATAAAGTTATAGCTGTTAATATTATAGGTGGGCCATTGTGATTGGCTCCGTCAAATTATACGTGCGAGAGCTGTGCTCCCAAAACTTGTTCCGCGATGTCATCGAAGGAAAAAAGCTTTGTTGTCGTTGGCCTTCTTTTCATAGTCAGCTGATCCGAATAATAGACATACATCACGTTGCCGTTTAACGCACACAATCGAATGTTTAGAAGACCAACAACAACAAACCGTGACGTAGGATACATGTATCGACGGTCGAACTTTCTGGAAGCTTCTTGCGCGCATTAGTCTTTGGTCGAGAAGCCTTCAGGGCCGGAACTTAGATCGTGTTGCGATTCGGTCATTACCGATGCGACCACTCTCACTTTTTTCCATATTTAACACGCTGGTTCTACGCTTTCTTGTCATTTCCATTAGACTATCTAACAAAAGCGAATCTATGACCTGTCTGAACACGCGCGATTCCGGTCGGTAGCAAGTCGTAGCATGCGCTCCGTTTGAGTTCGCGCGCTCGCACGTTTTCATCTGTATCTTCGTTAATTTTGCGAGTACCGAGATGCATTTTTAACCATAAATTCTTGAAACTATGTACAATACAAATAAACAAATAAAAAAACATCGATTTTTTTGATCCGACAAACATATGTGCCCCCTTAACATGTACCTAACAAGAGTAAATAACCGTCACTTTCGACTGAGCCGCGGAATTTTCCGGCGATCGCAGGAGCAACATGACTCTCACGAAAAGGTCCGTTAGAGCCAGTGTTGGATAGTATCTAAATACAGTACCTAAATACACCCTGCGCATCTAAGCCTGCATCTGAGATACATTCGAATTGAAGGATCTGTATCTGTATCTAAATACTAGAGATGTGCAAATTCGAATCGAATCGAATCTAATATAATTCGATTCGATTCGAATCCGAATCCCTATGATTCGAATCCGATATTCGAATAATTCGAAATTTTCGAATCACAGATTCGAATACGAATCAAATACATTAGCGTTTGGGCGCATCAACTACAAAACGGGCCAACTAGGCCTGTATATGTGAACCTTTAACTTGTAATTAACTTAACTTATAATTAATAACTTAATTATAAATTACTTTAAATATTTAAATATATATTTTACTTTAAGATGATATTACAATGTCAATATTCCCTTTCATATTAAAATCTTCCATCATTATTTGCATGTTTAATAGTCATGTTAAATTTTTCAATGATTCGATTCGGATTCGAATGAAATTTCATAGATGTTCGATTCGATTCAAATTGGAATTTAAAAAATGAGATTCGATTCGATTCGACATAAAAATTCTTGATTCGCACATCTCTACTAGATATAAAACATAATATCTGAACGGCTTTTCAGATACATTTTCACGTATTTTTTGTCGATAATGGAAAAAAATTATCGTGGTAATGAAAAGTTTAGCATGCACTCTTGATTTGCTACAGGGAGAAAACTATTGTTATTTAGGATATGTTTTGCCAACTTTGCAGCAACTTCCCAGTAAGCAAAATGCTAACAGAATGCGCGCAGATTGACGCCAATTTCGATCAGATCTCCACATCAAAACCATAGCCATCTGTGTCCTCATTAGGCTCGTGTTTTGTCGACAGGACCTGTGTGACACGCCGTGCGAGCAGATTGTCGGCAGAAACCGCGCAGGTCCTGCTGCCAAACTACACGTAGAGTCTGCGCATAGAGTTTGCTCGGTTTCTGCCGCCAATCTGCCGTCAAATTACTGCAAGTCTTGCGCGGTTTTTGCTACAAATCTGCCGTCAAATATCTGACAACAGGATCTTATAACAGGCGCATATTTGACCGCAGATTGGCGGCATAATTTGATATAACAGATTCTGCGTTATATTTGTTGCCTATTTGCCATCAAACTATGATAGCAGGCTTTGTTCGAAATCTGCTCGCGCAGGTTTGGCTATCTGGGTTAAAATTAATTTGCAGATACTTCACGAATTACCTAGTTGCGAACCCTTGAGAAATGCTCTAGTAGATGGCATTAACAAAAAATTCTGGAATACTGTATTGAATTTTGACAATATATGCAGTAAACTTTACATTATTTCATCTATGATTGTTCCTACACTTAAATTAAAATGGCTAAACTTAATTCCAGAAGCAGGGATTGTTTCAAAAACGACCCTGAACCATGAATATTGTAAAAACTTGCTTATTACAGAAGCAAAAAAATATGCGTATTTAAAAAATAAAACTAGAATATCTTCTGATGGCTCTTCGGCATCTTCCGTGGAAGATGAACAATTCTTTAAATTTTTAAAAGACAAAGATAACGTGGAAACAATTGATAGTGCCATCGACATGAAAGTTTTTTCTTATTTGATAGACAAGCAGAAAGATATCGTATTGACAACACATTATCCTCATATGAAACATTTGTTTTTAAAGCTCAACGATTATATCATCATCAGCATCGGTTGAGCGTTTACTTAACATTGGAGGTCAAATTTTAATACCGCGGCGAAATAGATTAAGTGACGATATGTTTGAAGCACTTTTGATACGTAAGACTATCGACTAATTTGTATAATTTTAATGTAAACAAACAATATTAATAAATAATAAAAGATTTGTTCAGTATATTTTACACACATTATCATTACTATGATAAAATATAATTTAAAAGTATCAGATATATATCCGAGATACCTCCAAAGCATCTGAGTATCTGTATCTAGATACATTTTCCTCATATGTGTCTATATCTGTATCGAGATACATTTGAAATGTATATTACCCATCACTGGTTAAAACCTTCTGAAGGATACTCATTGCACAGAGAGAATTTTCGAGCATAAAGATTACCAGAGAATTTTATAACCGAGGACATCGTATCGTCATTCTGCCCGAATTTTTCGCCCTTTCGTTTCATATCCGTTACTTATATTTTAAAAATTAAGATCTACATGAGTAAGAAAAAATTGCTTCAATTAATAGGACTATATATTCTGTTTCCTTCGGGCATGACATGTTGACTCGCTCATTGTCGCGTAAATTCAATCAATCGTTTATAGATTGCAGATCTTGAAATATAATTAAAAACTTAAATAATAATTAATGATTAAAATAATAAAATAATCATTAATAATTCAATAATAACAATAATTAAATAATAATTAATAATTAATTTTATTTATATTATTAATAATTTAAATTATGAAGAATTTCTAATTCTTATAAATCAAATTCGGTCCTAAGAAATTCTGTTTCCTTCGACCAAAACGCATTTGACTCATCCATTGTTACGTTCATTGTTACATTCATTCAACCAATCGTTTTGCACTATATATTGTTGAAAAATTTCCTATAGTCCTTAGCAAGGTAAATTTTACTGACTATGTACTACTAAGGAATACAAGTCAGAGTAAAATTTATACGAGAAAAGAGCTACGTGTGCTCTCTCCGTGTGCTGAGTGATTCCCATTTAATGGCACAAACGGATACAAGCGTCATCCTTAATTACCCATCGCATGGAACAATGATAAAATGATACTCCTACCAAATTGTGTTACTAAATAGAATGCGCATACTGTAAACTGTATTACCACGGTAAGTACTGAGATATTAATAAAAGAAACTTTTCAAAAGCGTGCTCATAATGCGACGGAACGATTTCTTTAAGCTAAATTTTATTTAATATGCAAAGATCTATTGCAAGATATTATCCGAAGCTTAGTTTTTGTTATAAAGATAAGGTGTTTGCTTGTTGCGGGTTCGGCACAGGAAGTCAGGAAGTAGGCAAGAAGGATTAATACAACGTCTATTAAGCTGGCACAGCAATTTCAGCACAATCGCATGAGACCAGCACAGAAATTTAGTGCTTTTTGTTGCTAATTTGTTGCTCTATTCCCGACTTTGTTGCTCTAGCCATTTCGAAAAAAAACAGTGGCTGTGCTAGCTTAACATTAAAGTTAGCACAGCCACTCGAAAAAAAAATAAAAATCGAAAAATGAATACATTTCTAAACTACGATTTTGTTGCTAATTTGTTGCTTTATTCCTGATTTTGATGGCGCCAGACATTGCGCCAAAAACCGGTGTGTTAAAAATAGCCGGGGACCTATGACGTGTGCTAGCTACAAGAGTAAACTACCCGGAAAAATTTTATTGCTCGCCCAATTCCGGTCTTAATATGTTGTCTGATTTTGTTGCACTTAAGATATCCCAGTTTCAAATTTGTTGTTCGCGGTATATGTTTAAACAATACCCAACAACCCATAGGTGTGTGCTGGCTACAAGAGTAAACTACCCGAAAAAAATGTGTTGCTCGCCCAATTTCAGTCTCAGTATGTTACCTGATTTTGTTGCCCTTAAAATATCCCAGTTTCAAATTTGTTGCTCGCGGTATATGTTTAAACAATAGCCGAGAACCCATAGGTGTGTGCTGGCTACAAAAGTAAACTACTCGAAAAAAATTTGTTGCTCGCCCAATTCCGGCCTTAATACGTTGTCTGATTTTGTTGCTCTTAAGATATCCCAGTTTCAAATTTGTTGCTCGCGGTATATGTTTAAACAATAGCCGAGAACCTATAGGTGTGTGCTAGCTACAAGATTAAACTGGTCGAAAAAAATTTGTTGCTCACCCAATTTCGGTCTTAATATGTTGCCTGATTTTGACCGAATTTGGGCGAGCAACAAATTTTTTTCAAGTAGTTTACTCTTGTAGCCAGCACACATTTATAGGTTCTCGGCTATTGTTTAAACATATACCGCGAGCAACAAATTTGAAACTGGGATATCATAAGAGCAACAAAATCAGACAACATATAAAGATCGAAATTGGGCGAGCAACAAATTTTTTTCGAGTAGTTTACTCTTGTAGCCAGCACACACTTATGGGTTCTCGGGTACTGTTTAAACATATACCGCGAGCAACAAATTTGAAACTGGGATATCTTAAGAGCAACAAAATCAGACAACATATTAAGACCGGAATTGAGCGAGCAACAAATTTTTTTCGAGTAGTTTACTCTTGTAGCCAGCACACACCTATGGGTTCTCGGCTATTGTTTAAACATATATCGTGAGCAACAAATTTGAAACTGGGATATCTTAAGAGCGACAAAATCAGACAACATATTAAGACTGGAATTGGGCGAGCAACAAATTTTTCCAGGTAGTTTACTCTTCGGAACGAAAAAATAAGATGCAGGTCCCGAACGCACGGCGTCCCGTCGCCACCTAGTACGCCTTCCTTCTTTCATGGTAGCTAGCACACATCTATAGGTCCCCGGCTATTTTTAACACACCGATTTTTGGCGCAATGTCTGGCGCATCAAAATCAAGAATAAAGCAACAAATTAGCAACAAAATCGTAATTTAAAAATATGTATTTGTTTTTCGATTTTTATTTTTTTTTCGAATGGCTGTGCTAACTTTAATGTTAAGCTGGCACAGCCGCTGTTTTTTTTTTAAATGGCTGGAGCAGCAAAATCGGAAATAGAGCAACAAATTAGCAACAAAATCGTAGTTTAAAAATATGTGTTCGTTTTTCGTTTTTTATTTTTTTTTCGAGTGGCTGTGCTAACTTTAATGTTAAGCTAGCACAGCCACTGTTTTTTTTCGAAATGGCTAGAGCAACAAAATCGGGAATAGAGCAACAAATTAGCAACAAAAAAGCACTAAATTTCTGTGTTAGTCCCATGCGATTGAGCCGAAATGGCTGGCCGATTAATAGACGTATTAATATAACCGTACTAGCAAATGAAGTATTTCGAATTAATTATTACATAAAGATAATTATATAAAATTTTTTTAAAGTAGAGAAATTATAATTAAATAAAAATAAAGTGTGTTA